GCCAGCCTGGTCTACAATGTGAGTCCAGGACAGCCAAGACTACACAGAGAAACCCCATCTCTGGGGTGGGGGTTGGGGTTGCCTCAGAGGTAGCTGGTTCCTAGGCCAAGAGAAATGCCCCTGCCAGGCATGCCCAAAGTGTCTATTGGTGTTACCACACTTAACATGTGTGGCTTGAGGAGTTATCTTCTCTGCTGGCAGTGACCATGCCCCCTTTGCTCCCCGTTTGTCTCCAATGTCCAGCACATTGTCTCACATAAAGCAAATTCTTCCTAAATATTTATTCCATGAGGAAATGACCATATCTTCATAAAAAGATTAGAAGGATATGTGCCAACAAACTGAGAAGGCTTATTTCTAAATATTTGTTTTTACTGTATACCTTTTTACATTCTCCAAATTTTCTACAGTGAGAACAACATAATATTTTATCTTTTTTTTTTTCCTTTCTCCAGAGCTGAGGACTGAACCCAGGGCCTTGTGCTTGACAGGCAAGCGCTCTACCACTGAGTTAAATCGCCAACCTCTGAGAACAACATAATATGAAGGCATTAAAAAGCTTTTATTTTACTAAGCAACTCAGTAGTGTGCCATAAGTATTTGGAGCCTAATTTTTAATGAAACCCTGCTCTGTTTAAATAAATCCATTTCCTTGTGTTAGAAACATTCAAATCTCCTTGGCTGGCTTTTTTAAAATATGCAGTTAATTTCTGTCAGTCACAGTTACTCTTGTGCTATAGCACATCAGAACATTATTCCTTCTCTTCAGCTGCACCCTCCCGCCTGTCAACCATCTATCCCTCAGGCTCTGGAGACCACTACCCTACCGTGATTTCCATATACAAGCAGAGTTCCTGGCATTTGCTTTTCTGTTCCTGACTTTCTTCACAAAACATAATCTAATCCCCCACCCTCCCCAGTTCATCCATACCACCTCACTTCTCTTTAAACTATTTTGTTTTTCCTGATAGAGAAGTTTCTAAAGGTTTACAGCTGAAACTTTTTAGCCTAAAGAATGTTTCACAGTGGAAAGCACAAAGCCACATATAATTTTTAGGTTGTCCTCAAATGGGTTCTATCTCTCTGTCCTCTGGCTGCATCATAGGCCCAGATGGCATTCAATTCACAATCTTCTCATTTGAAGTTTCGTTTAGGTAATGAAAGTTCTTCTGGAGCCACTGGCTCGAATCTGAATGGAATCTGAGCATCCTCCCAAGGGCTGTGATTAAAACTTGATTCCCAGGATGGTGATGTTGGAAAATGATTGAACCTTTGAATGTTACTCTATTGAGGGTGTGCCCTCACAGGAGACTGTGGAATGCCAGCCTCTTCCTGTCAGGTTTCTTCTTTGGTGTTGTAAGTTCTTAGACACACGCAAATGCAAGCATCTCCATTGTGTTTTGACACAGCTAAGCTCTGAGATAACTATTCTCTTGAACCTCTCAAGCTGTAACTAAATGAAGAAATCTTCTATCTTTATAAGCAAACCATATTGGGTATCCACTCTAGTAGCAAGCCCTACTAATATGCACCATTTGAGAGTCTTTCTGAGTTAATACTGGACTGTGTGTAGGCGTGTCTAACCTTTTGGCATTGCAACTTGATGTTGTCATCTGCAAATATATTGGGCCACATTTTTAGCTATGCTGGGCCACATGAGGCCCCCTGGACACAAGCTGGGCCCACTGCTTGAGTACTTCTGTCACACCACATATAATAAATAACAATGCCTTATACTATATTTTCTCTTGACAAAGCCCCATGATTTAGTTTTTCCCTCACCTTAACCAAACCAGTCTAGCCCAGCATTTCTCTCACCCGTGTCTTGATTCAGAAAGAGGTGGCCCTGGGCTCTTCAGGGATGTGTAGATTCATGCAGCTAGTGTATGTAAGGATTATTTTGTCACACAAAGATGACACGAACCTTGCCCTGAGGTTGTGATTCTCATCGTGGTCATTCCACTAGGTGTTTTAATCTTCTCAGTTCTACATGCTGTGCAAAGTGTCTTCTAATGACCCTGCCTGCCCAACCATTGTCTCATTCTAGGGCCCCAAGGAATAAATGTAAGAGAGGGAAAATGCTAACAACTCAGGAAGCATCCCTGTACTTTGCAATCCCTAGATCCTGACTTGTGCCCACTTCCCGTCCGGGACACAGTAGCCTTTTGTGCAGAAGCCAACAAGAAGTACAGGAATCCATAGGAGGGATCTATAACCCCAGATCATCAAAATCAATTTCTCCTCAGTGCTGTGTAACCTTTGTTCCTTCAACTGAAAGTCACTCTCACTACCCAGTGGTCCCCTCTCCTGCTTTTCTAACACAGAGAGAGACTCGAGGTGGGTGTGTCAGGTGTCAAGCAGCCTGTTATGTTGGTGTGTGTGCTCGTTTGCAAATCCTTGCAAAACAGGTCCTGCATAGTCTCCCTGACCCCTAGTTTATTATAAATCTAGCTCTTGAAGGTAAATTTATAGGTTGGCAACTGGGAACAGTTTGGACTCAGAGCTCTGATCCCTCTATAACAGCAACGCTCACTTAATCCATTTTGCTGCTATGACAGAGTATCTAAGGCTGTATGATTTTAAGGAATAGAAATTTATTCCATCATAGTTCTGGAGACGAGAAATACCAAGTAAGGGTGTTAGCAAGCTAAGTCTCAGCCCCCAAGATAGGGCCCACTTCTGTACCTTTGGAATAGCAGAAAAACAGGAGACGTGGGCCACTTCCTCAGGCCCTCAGTTGGGTTGCTTCCATTTACAGGCACTATAACCTCATAGCTAAGCATCTGCCATCAGCCTCCATCTCCCAACAGAGCTGTGCTCAGAGATTAGGTTTCAGCATAAATTTAGGAGGGAGTCATGGGGGGAGCATTGAGTGGTGAGGCCAAGCGCCCTGGGGGCGCTACTTGACAAGGGTCCAGTACCCTTACTGGTAAAGGCCACTCCCTAAAGGCTAGAGTTGGAATAATGTAACAAAAGCTGGTGTTAATAAAAATAATAAAACTAATGCTGGCAGCTATGCAGAAAATTGAGTCTTCCATAGAATCTGTTTAGATTTACTGTTAGATTGTTAATAAATTATATTAGTAAGCATGATATAGAGGGTCTGAGAAAAACTGTTAAAGAAAAACTTGGGAAAATTTTGAAAGCTGACAAGCTGTAACTAAGTCACTAGGCTTTCATGTTCAGCTTCAGAAACAAGGGACTAGTATGGACAGAAATTTTGATCATGCTATTATTGATAGACTTGGTACCTTCCTGAAAACAAAGTAAGCAAGTGTAGAAACCCCGATGTTCTATCCTTTACAGGATGGTAATAAAGATAGAAATTGTATTGAGACAAGGAATCATGACAAAGTCACAGAGACAAGCATTTTGACCCAGTTGAACTGCCTACCTTCCTGAACAAACTTGTCAGATGAGGACTTTTCTGACATTATAGAAAAACAAAATGACAGATAGCTTTTAAGCAAAAAGGCTGCACAATATTTTAAAAATCCAAGAAAAGGATGATGGCTTTATTTTAAAAGTAAAAGGAAAATAGAGGAAGAAAAGGTAGATCATCTGAAGGTCAGAAAGATTGAACTTTTAAAGGAAGTAAGTTTGATGTAACAGGTGGAAGAAAATAATTTTTTATTTATTAACTCTATGCGAACTTGAGACAGAATCAAATTCAAATAGAGTCATCCTGTCCAGCATTTCTGACACTATTCATAACTGGCTTTATCATAAAGTTAATTTTTAGTTCTTACAAAATTTGCTGTTTGCTCACTTTCTCTTGTTCATATATGCTTATGCAACCAAGAAAAACTTGTAATCAATAATTAAAGTTTCTAAGGAAATGATTTTATGTATAAATGGAGTTTACAAGAGCAAGTCAAGCCATACTGAGATGTGCTTCCTCTCTGTCCCGTCTCTCATAAAAGGAAACTGAATGGTGTCCTGAGCCTGATCCTTCCTTCCCTCATCACTCTTTCACCCACCCTCCTTCAAGCCCTTCCCTCTTCAGGGGTTGGTCCCGAGCAACTGAGGTAATCTAGAAAATCAAAGAGGTCAGGTGCAATGGCACACCTGTAATCCCAGCACTTGGGAGGCTGAGGCAGGGGCGTTACTAATTCCAGGGCCTGGTTTACAGAAGACTGTCTCAAAACAGAAAACAAACCAGAGGGGTGGAGGAAAGTATTTTTACGACTATCTTTTCAGTTATTTTGTCACTCTTCGGACTTTGCTGTGTATATCTCTAGATCACACCTGATCTAGGAGTAGCCCACACTGCAGGTGCTCAGAAGCCACCCAGCATGGAGGGAGCCAGGTATGACATCATTAGAGAAAAGTTAGCCTGAGGTTGCTCAGAGGCAGAGGCAGTTTTAGAATTCAGCCATCTTCTCCTACCCATCTATCTGCTCTGGAGGCTGACTGGCAGCCAGGCTCATCTAAACAGGGCTCCTCACCCTTCTCTGAGCCTTTCCACAGTTACTACTCTCGGCCTGCCTGACCTCTCTCCCAAGTAAGTCCAAACCTGACTTCACACCAAGCCCACATGAATGTTCCCTTTCTCTGCAGATAATTTTCATGGCTTACCACCCATCCCCCAAAACTCTGTTTTAAACCTTTTTGAAAAATTCTTTTTAGCAACGATTCTCAACAGACATGCCCATCAGAATCACCCACGAAGCTTCAGTGGAATTCAAGTGATGACCCTACCTTGGAGCTCTGGTGTGTAGACGGAGGTTGGCAGATATATCCATGTAGATTGCTATATTTTTTAATGGTTTCCAAATGGTTCTGATGAATACTACCAACCTGTGAGGCTCTCATCAGCTGGCACACAGCCACAAACGCTCTCCTGTCCTGGCAATGTGAACACTCAGCAGGCTGAGAATTAACCACCAGGCTGGAACCTAGTGTTAAAAACAAAGGTAAGAACCTCCCAGGGCGGGGCTACCTGGCTTACTTACGATGTTTCTCTGCACCCAAGGACACCTTTAGATTCACTTCCTGATCCCACAGCCTCACCGAATCCACTGCCAGACTCAGTGGGTCAGGCAGGAATGAAGCAATCACTTCTTACCCTCATGGTTGTGACTGTGTGTGTGGCTCTTCGAACCTCAGAAGGTGAGTTGGGGACACCAGTTACCTGGGGCTCCAGTGGAAGGGGATGGGAGGTGCCTCCTAATTTAGGGATGGAAGGGGTAAGCTGAGAGAAATTTCTGCATTTAGCTGAGACTTCTCCATTTCCCTCTGGTCATCTGGAGAACAGCACTGGTTCAAGGTCAGAGATTTTGAAAGGGGCCCATTACCACTGGACTATTAATCGGCTACCTGTGATGAGCCCTTCCATGCAGGCGCAGCTTTCTGATGACAGAATGCTGTTTTCTACCTACACGCTTCAAACAGCTAAACTCTTTTAACAGGTGTGTGTGTACACGTATGCATTTATGTACAAGTACCTGTATGCATGAGTGTGTGCAAATCTGAGTCTACATGTGTGAGTCTGTTCATGTGCACATTTTTCATAGAGGGGAAAAAAGACCAGCACTGGCAGGAAGGGACAGATTTCATGAGCAGTCAGCCTGTGGTACCAGACTTCATCTAGCTCTTAGAAAGGGAAGTGTGATCAAGGAGATGGAGCCATACGAAGTATGCTGACGGGAACTTAACTTTTGCATTTGTAGTGAATGTGTATGTGGAGATCATAACTGCACTTGGACTGAAAGCAACCTACTTCTGGTTGCTTTTTAGGAAAGCATTTAGGAAACCCTCTACCACTAAACTACAAAGTCTCCCTCAGCAACCCTGAATGGCCTAAAACATGCTATGCATTCTGGACTAGCCTCAAACGCATGACACTCTTTCTGCTTCACGACAAATGCTTGGATTATAGGCATGAGCCACCACACCCACCTAGCCCTTAACTGATGAATGGAATATGCAAGTTAATGAACTATGACACTAGCGTTGGCCATAAAAAGTTTAAGTAGAATGTCCTCATAAAGATAGATTATAGACTATTAATTCCTTGAAGAATAAAAAAACACTCAACACAGAGAAAGTTAGGGACGATTTGTCTTTCCCAGTCATCTTTTCTTAAGCATTCTAAATGGACTCCAAGTCCAGAGAAAAGGTGGAATATAAACTTGGTCTTGCCTGCTTTTTTACATACACCAGCCAACATTTCTACACAATCACACTTTTGTACACACATACCCAGAAACACACACATTCGATTCACAACTTCTCTTTGAAATGAGAGCTGAGAGCTAAGAACGTAGCTCAGAGAGCTCACCTAGCACACACATGACTCAGGTTCAAGTCCCCATGCAGAAAAAGCCAGCAGACCTGGCAGCAGTGGTTCTTTATGCTGGCTTCAACAGGTGGCAATAGATTGGCTCTCATCCCTCTCCTGCATCTTACTAACTGTGTGCTTCCTGTCAGCATTTGCTTAAGGACTTTGATACGGTCCACCAAGGTACTGAGCTTCTGTGAATCAGAAGAGGAAAACTCTGGCCCTCCTAATTTAACAAGATAAGGAAGGAAACATTTCATTTTATTTGATAAGATCTTTTCAGAGAAATTCACCATTGTACCTGCAGTACTTTCAGAGCCTTTCAAATTTCCTGGCTCAGGTTTGACACCCAGTGTCTACAACTATACCAGATAAGTTTTTCATACAGTGCTTTGAAATGAAGGTGAGACCTCCCTGCCAGCTTCCTGATCTATTTCCAGCTGTCCCTCCTACAGAAAGAGGGAAGGGGGCGGGTGGAAAATGAGGGAGGCTCTGCTTTGCAGCATCAACCCCTGCAAGGGCTGGGTCCCAGCAGAGAGAGGTAAGAAGCAAACAGCTACTAGAAGTAAAAAGCACGTCCAGTGAGTATCAAGAGCTGAGACTCACAGCATGTGGTTCAGCTTCAGGGCCTTACTGGAGGCTTTTTGGAACAGGAAAACCCACACTGTCTGACAAGCCCCAACTCTTGCCATTTGAAATAAGTGATGTTGTGTGTGTGTGTTGAAGTGAAGAGATGGGTCAGCAGTTAAGAGCACTGGCTGCTCTTGCAGAGAACTGGTTTCCATTCCCAGTACCTGTATGGCAGCTCACGGCTGTTGGTAACTCCAGTTCTGAGGGATCTGATACCCCCTTGTATCAAGTCAACCCTGGCAGCCACTTTTACCCACAGAGCCATCTCACTGGCCCCAGGCTGTTCTAATGTGACCTCCTTAGGCACTGTGTGCACATTGGGCACACACACGATACAGGCAAATACACATAAAATAAAATTTTAAAAATCCAAAAATAGCTGCATGGTGGTAGTGCACACCTTTATCCCAGTACCCAGGAGGCAGAGGCAGGGAGAACTCTGTGCGTTCAAGGCCAGTGTAGTCTACAAAACTACTTCCAGGACAGCTACACAAAGAAACCCTGTCTTACAATCATAACCACAATAAAATAAAAAACCCAAAAAGAATAACATAAGTGATACTGAGTCAAAATTCACGGAGGTGGGGCTGAGAACAGTTATGGCACTAAGAGAGCCCAATGCCAATTCTTCTTCAGTAAATTTCCATTAGAGGAGGGTGCTCTGTCGTAGTCCTAAGTGATTCTGGATCCAAACAGGAGTGTGAGAGTGGGGTGGAAAACCAAACAGAGTGAGAAAGACATGGTGCAGAGAAGATGACAGGCGGCCTTGGCAACTGCAGCAGCCTGAAGGAAGGGACAAGGAAGTGGCCTGTGCCAATGTGAGATTGGGAAACACATTTTGTTCTTTCAGGGACAATACTGTTCCATTATCCTAATGGTATCTTAAAGTATTATCTCCATGTGATGCTTCAATAATTGGCACTTCCCAAGTGTTCCAAATTAATCAGGAAGCAGGTGACTTTATCCATGACCAAAACCTTGGACCCTCTCCAGAGGCAGAGCACACCCTATATCTGTCGATGTGGCTGCTGGCTCCAAGAACTCGCTACAGAGCCCACGTATGCCATCCAGTAGCCCTGACCCAGATTAGTTAGCTCCACAACCTAGCATTAGGCTCACTCAACTGTGTCTTTTTTTTTTTTAAATATTTATTACATTTTATGTTTAGCAGGGGGCACCATGGAAAGCTTGTAGGACTCAGTTCTCTCCTACCATCCTGGGGCTCAAACTCAGGTCAACCTTGGCAGCAAGTGCCTTTGCCCTCTGGGCCATCTCACTGGCTCCAGGCTGTTCTAACTTTTTGACTCAGGTCAAGATGCAGGGTGTGAGATTTTGCTTCATCCATGGCACCAAGTGACCTACTTTCTCACAGCTGCCAGGATGGTCCCTGTGACACACAAATACTTGTCATACACCTGATGCTAAAAAAAGCAACCTTACAAATCGTTTATAGAAGAAACTACCAATATGTGTTTGTGTTTTGAAAGTTGCTCTTCCATTTCATCAGCAGAGGTTCCTGACAGGCCTGACATAATGGGCCCAGGAACCTGCTTACCTTCAATTCCCTTTCAGGTATGCCACTTGTGTATACCCTCAACCCTAGACCATCTGTTAAGTATTGTATTTTGACTTCTAAAAGCTGTTGTAGCTGTAAGGTAGCTACAGGTGTGTTTGTTTAACATTCTTTTCTGAGTCAAGGAAACAGTGTGATATAGCAGTCTTTTCAACAGGAATAATGTATGAGAAGCACCTCTTTGTTCTCAGCATTGACTTGTTTCATTTTGTTTTGACTTTTAATTATGCTATTACTTCATATATAAAGAAAACCATGTGTACCTGTGCAATTATAAATAAATTCTACCATTACAATGCCAAAATATTCAAAATTTAAAAACACTACAAAGCCAAGATTATTTCAATATGTTGACATTAATCAAGTCTGGCTGAAAGTAAAATCACTATTGTAAACATTTCTTCACTCTTGGCAGAGGTGCCTTGAGTGTGGGTCTGATGCGTGTCCTGCCAGGAAGATGACACTTCTGTTTGAATGTCCACGGTGTAACTTGGTCTCCCCTTAGTGTGAATGTGTTGTGTTCTGTCAGATTGGCCTGGAACAATGAAGGCAATATTGCACTACTAACCTCACTGACATCACCATGACGCCAGATTCAAGCATCCTCAAAGTGCTCCCCTAAGATGGTCTTCCGGAAGACTAGAGTGCATTGGTTATAAGGTGACTGAAGCAACATTTTGAGAAAGCACCCATTAGGCTTTTCCTCACATTAGCCTCCCCGCGTGTTTTCATTTACTGTTTACTATGTTTCCACTGTTCTACACACACAGATGTAGAAACTCATACAATCTTCATAATAACTCAGGGAAGGGGGTAGGGATGGTTACCATAGTAATAGTACTTACTCCATAGTTACAGATAAACTGAAACAGAAGTAAGCCTGAGAATAACCCACTCAGAGTCAGCTGGCAAGTGACAGGCAGAATGTAAGCCCAGTAGTCCCTGTCCACATGCTTAAGGACCACTTATCTGGATATCTCTTAAACCACAAAATGATCCAAGCCCCTTCCATTCTCTAGCGTTTATTCTGTAAGTATCACATCGTGACACTGGGTAAAGGAAACCTCTACCCTCTGTATTCTTCCAAACATTTCATGGTTCCAGGAGCACAGGGGAGCCAGGAGCACATGGAAGGACTTCATGTGGGCATTGTAGCCTTAGGCATCACAAATTGATGTGTCTTTCTGCCCACTCACTAACAGTAGCGGACATCCTGTGTGACATGGCTCCTCTACTATGAGGTGAATTACATGGGCACATGTTTCTAACTGTCCTAGGTTGATTCTGTTTGTGTGATAAAACACTGACCAAAAGCTGCTTAGGGGAGGAAAGGTGCTATTTCCTCTTAAACTTCCAGATCCCAGTCTACCATTGAGGAAAGTCAGGCAGAAATCTGGAATCAGAAACATAGAGAAGCACTGCTTCCTGGATCATTCATTGGCTCATGTTCAGCTACATTTCTTATATAGCACAGGCCCACATGCCTAGAGATGGTGGCACCCAGTGGGCTGGGCCCTCTCCCATCAATCATCATTCAAGACAATTTCTACAGACACGACTACCTTGACTTGAGATTTCCTCTTCCCAGGTGACTGTAGGCTATTTCATGGTGATACTAAGTATTAA